CGCCGCGCGGCGGCGCCGACGGCGCCGACGGCGGCGCGGCGCCGCCGGGCGCGGCGCTGCAGGCCGGGCTGCCGCCGAGCGCGGAGCACGTGTGGTGCGGCCGCACGGTCGTGCCGGCCGGGCCCCTGGCGCCGGGCGAAACAGCAGAGGTTCCCCTGTGCGTGGCAGTGTTCCGGCCGGGAGCGTATGTTCTTGAAGATTATCTTGTAGACTGGGAGACCGCAGGGGCGGGGGGGCGGCGCCTGCAGGGCTCCAAGGTCGGGGAGCCCTTCGTGCTGCGCGTCGAGGCCGGCGCCGCGGGCGCCGCTGCTGCCGTCGCGGGCGCTGCGGCTGCTGCGGCGGGCGCGGGCCCTGTTGCGGGAGCTCCTCCTGCGGGCGTGGGGGCGGTGGCAGCGGCGGCGGGCCCGGCCGGCGCCGCTCCTGTGGGGTCTGTGACGGCGCTGACGTTTGATGCGGAGTTGTTGTGAGGGTGGGGGGTGGTTCTGGATGAGTGTGGCCGCAGGGCGCTGCATTGGCGCACACGCTGAGTTGCCGACTAGAGCCCCATGTCATCGCTTGGCCACCACCCTGACACACGCGGTTGTAGAGGGCAATACTAGTGTGCAATTGCACAAGGATTCAAAGACGATCACCTTTTTGAAATGTGCAGGCCACGACAGCCACACCATGGCAGGCTTGCAGGGCCATGCTGCCAGGCAATGGGCGCTGCTGCTGCCGTAATATCAGAAACAAAACACGTGTCTTGTGGGCCGCAGTCTGACCCAGGGCTGCAGCTATGCCGGGTTGCAGCGTTGCATGGACCATGTGCACACCCTGCCTTGCGTATAGTACTGCCCCTCACGCCCAACCAGGAGCATGCTGAGGGCAAACGCGTGCCGCGACTCGGCGCAACACCAGGTCTGTACATGTTCTGATAAGAGCTGACTGCGAGACACACAGCTGGAACCAACCTGTCACTTACTTCAAGCCCTGCGGCTTGCCCGGCGGCGCAGTCGGTGTTGTCGGGGTCCGTGTGTCACGCTTAACATGATCATGACGCACCCATAGCAATTCAAGTGGAGATGTGCAGCAAGCTGGCAGTGTGCGAGGAATTCGCCTCAGGCGCAAGCCGTTGGCACGAAACTCACCCAGCGTCCCCGTCACCGACCCAACCACCTCACGACACCCCCGGCCCCAACCAGAAGCTACCCGTGCAGCAGACGGACCTGGCAGGCCTGCGATGCAGCTTCATGCAATCTGATAAAATGCGTTTGTTCCGACTCATTACACCAGGGACTTGCACGAAATTCAATCATCGCGGCCAACCCCTCGCTCCAGCTGCTCAGCGCGCTGTATCCTTCGAGTTGGGGTTACCGCAGCATTATATTGGTGGCATGCGGTTACACGCGCTTGGAAGCAGCAGGCTGAAAGGCAGCGTCAGGCGGATAGCGGGCGAGTCTACAGCGCTGCTTTGATGCGGCGGTCGCCGGGGCCTGTGCAGCAGCCAGAGGCCCAGCTGACAGGCGCTGCAAAGAAAACTCGGGCCCAGCAGAGTGCAGCTAATGTTTTGCTTGACGTCCGGGCCTCGTCCTGTTCACCACGGAAAGGCAGCGTCGGCCCCCGCAAACCTGGCCCCAGCGCAGTGGACGGCAGCGGTTGCGTTGTTATCCACGGGACTGGCAAAAACGGCGCAGCTGCCCACCATGGTGTTCCAGCCGACGGCGGCGGGGCCGGCGGCGGCGGCGAGGGAGCTTCCAGCCATGACAGCCGGCCAAGGTCGCGGCCGACGTGCTGGCGCAGCGCTGCGTTGCTGCTGATCGCCCTGGCCGCGGCCGCTGCGCTCGCCGCCCACGCGCGGTCCCCCGTGCCAGGTGCCACCAATCTGCTGGGGTCCCGCGACGCCCGCGGCGGGCAGCGCGGCGCCGTTGGTGCTAGCGGAGCCGAGGCGCTACCCCTGGAGCGGCCGTCAACCGTTGCCGGTTACGCAGGGAACAGCAGGAGCGGCGACGGCAGCAGCAGCAGCGACGCCGGCACCCACCCACCAAGCGGCAGCACCAGCAGCATCAATGGCGCTGAGCAGGGCGCAGCCAAGATTGCCAAAACAAGCAGCCGCAGTAGCGACCACCCAGGCGGCACCCACACACCCGCTGCAGCAGCTCAAAGCGCAGCACCGTCCGCCATCTGGGCAGCCCGCGGCAACGCCGCACCGGTTGTGCTGCTTTCTGGGGGCCGAACCTCGGCTATGGCGGGCGACACCTTTGCCGCCGCGGGCTTCAACTGCATTCCGCCAGAGCGCGAATTTGATTGGCTGCCCCATGCGCTGCCAGGCCTGCAGGATCGTCAGGGGCCCACGGCGGAGCCAGAGGAGCGGGGGGTGCGGCGGCGGGGCCTGCAGCAGCGGCAGGAGCGGCTGCGACAGCAGCAGCAACAGGAGCAGCAGCAGTACATCACGCCGAGCAACGCACTGAGGCTTGCACAAACTAGGGGTGCTGGGCCTTCTGGCCGTTCGGTCGCTGCCGCAGATAGGGCAATCGGCACGAGCAAAACGCAGGGAGGCGGAGGTGGCACTGTCGCCAGCGGCGCTGACGACAGCGCAAAAGGCGATGGCGGCAGCCACAGCCGTAGCGGCAGCAGCAGCGGCCCCGGCAGCAGCAGCGACAGCGGCAGCGGAGGTCGCAACGGCAGCGGCGGCATCGACGATGGTGTTGGGTGGCGTGATTTCAGGATTGCTATTGTGAACGACGTGCCGTTCCACCACGAGGTCACCCTGGGCGTCGCCCACGCGCTGCAGGGCCGCAGGGACCGCCTCAAGGTGCACACCCCGCGCTTGGGTACCAATTTGTGTGTTTCTGTGTGTGTGCATGTGTGGGTGCATGCTCGTGTGTTTGTGCGGTGGGGTTGTGTGCGAGTGCGCGAGTGCGCGAGTGCGCGAGCGGGTGTGTTTGTGAGTATGTGTGTGTGTGTCCTGTGGGAAACTGCACGCAGGTGTGCGCACGCACGCTCTTGGGCTCGCTTGGGTCGCGAGTCCGCATCACTGGTCGCCACGGGGTATGTCTCAGGCCGTTCGACCCCAGCAGTCACGGTCCCTTCCACCAAGTACCTCCCTGTCCCCCGCCTAAAAGGTGTACCTCCACAAGAGCGTCTTCTCGCCAGACGCGTCCGGCCCCTCCCACGGGCTGCTCCCCTTCCTCCGCCGCAAGCTGCCCAACACCACGCTGGCCGACGCCTACCACAAGCGCGGCATCGCCCCCGCTGACGTGGTGTTCTTCCTGAGCCCCGAGTTCAACATTGACTACGTCAGGGAGTTCATGGAGGCGGCGCGGCCGCGGCTGGTCGTGATGTTCATACACGAGCCAAACATGGAGATCAGGCGCGTGGGGGAGGTGGTGTGGGGGAGATTGGGAGTGCGAGAGATATTAGGCGTGTGGAGGATCAGCCGTACCGGGGATACCTGCGCAAGGTGCGTGACGTCACATTGCCAACTACCCGCACCGACAGGCGCCTGCGCTACCTGCTGGGTCTGCATCCCTTCACCGGCGTCGCCACCCTCTCGCCCCACGTGGCCGACAAGCTCAGCAAGCGGCTCAACGGCGCGCATACGCACTGGATGCTGCCGATGCTCCCGGCCGGCTGCGACAGCGGGTGCTTTGAGGGCTTCGCGGTCCAGGGCAAGTGAGTCGTGGGGCCGGGCCGCCAAAGACCAGCCATGGGGGAGCGCGGGACCGTTGCAAGGCCAAGCAGCCTGGCAATGCTTGCGTTGGGCAATGCGGTCGCGTGGCCCATCACACTTTGTTGCGCGGGTGGTCATGTGCTCTGCCAGGGGTAGTGCGTGGCTGGCCATCACCATGCGACAAATGCACACATTGACACTACAACGCACCCCAACAAAGGTTTGAGGGCACGCGGAGGACCTATTCGACACTGTGGCAGGCCATGCTCAGCCGCCAGCCGCAGCCCGCCCCGCCTGACCCCGCCGTCGGCGCAGCCGCGGCCCCGCCTGCCGCCAGCCCTCCCTCCCTGCGTCGGCCGCGCGGCCTCGCGGGCGCGGGGGGAGCGGCCGGCGCGGCGCCAGTGCCGCGCATCAACATTGTTGGCAGCGGCAATCTTGCTGCCCTGAAGCTGCCGCGCGGCTTGGCGGGCAGTGTGTACGTGTATAAGGACCTGGGGTATGGGGATTACTACGACACCTTGTGCAGGTGGGTTTTCGGGTGTGTAAGATATGCAACAAGTGGGTGCAACGCCGGGAGTAGGTCATCCGGGAGGATGAAGAGTGGGTCAAGGAGCTTGAACGTGGACAGCTTCTCTTCGTAGTGAAGGCTGCCTTGCCTGCCGCTGGCTTCTGTCGCGTACACACCTGCTGCACGCACGCACGCGCACGCACAGAGGAGAGAGACACACATGCACTCTCTCACTCTCTCTCACATGCACATACGCACGCACACAATACACGCACACCACTACTCCTCTATTTCATTGCGTGATGCCAGCAGCGAGGCCAGAGCTATTTAAAAAAGGGAAATCCACACCCCAGCCTCAAACCCCTGCCGGTCATGCCCTGCCGCCATCGCGCCCCCAACACCACCACAACAAGGTCAATCGCTCTGCTGCCGCTGTTCAACGAGGCCAGCGGCTACCTGCGGGACAAGATCAGCAGCAGCGTGTCGGCGTCCCTCGCGGCCGGCACGCCGCTGCTCGTGCCGCGGGTGTTCCTGCAGACCTACTCGTACATGACGGCCGAGCACGTGTTGCTTATGGTGAGGGCGGCTTGGGGGGAGGCAGGGGTGGCGGCGGCGAGCTGGGGTTGCGGTTTTCTGGCAGTGCAGTGTGGGCGGTGCGCAGCCCTGGAGGGAGTGGTCCGGGATTGTGCCACGCCCGGGTGCGACGACCGGGCCATGGGCGTTGCGCTCGGACGCATTGCGCGCACATGGACACCGTTACCGCGCGAACGTTCAGCGTATGCACAATCCCGACGTCTCTCACGGCCCTGTAATGGACTGCACGCACCCAGGAGCCTGGGGAGAGCGAGCTGCAGGCGATGGAGCGGCTGATGGGCTCCCCGTCGCTGCCGGACGTGCTGGCGGCGCGCCGCAAGGCGCTGCTCCGCCTGCGGTTCGTCCTGAACCTCCAGGCGGCAGCCAAGCTCGACGCCCTAGTCAAGGCGGCGCAGGGCCGGGCGAAGTCGCCGGGAAAGCACCCGCCGTCGCTGGAGCGGCGCGGCGGCGTGGCCAAGGCGGGAAGTCAAGGTCGAACAGGTGGCGGCAAGGAGAACCTTCTTTCAAAAATGAACCCGTGACCACCGTGCGTTCCTTTTGACTGCATTTCTTGGTGTTCAGGAACTGCAAATTGCCACGATTTTGATCAAATGCACGGGGAGGTCACAATTGCGGCATGGGTGCGGCTCACCATTGCCATGAACGCGACGGGGCGGGTGCAGGCCATTAGCGCTCGGCCACGCGTCACTAGCTCACTACGCATCACGTGATCACACAGGCATGTCGAGTCGTCCGCTATCGCCACAGTCCGCTGATTGGAAAGCACCACAACAAGTGACCTTGCAGCCTGGCATCGCTCAGCTGCGTATGTCCACCGCAAGGCCGCGCGTCAGCTCCAGAGGGCTCGCATTACGAAAGTTGTGCCGGCCCATTGCTGACGTCACATTCCGGGGCGTGCAAATGCTGACGGCCGTACCGCCAACCCAGCCTCCCGTTTTGTGCACCATGAAAAAGGCGATTACGGTCCTCTTCGTGCTCCCAAGCTGCCGGAAGTCGCTCTAGTAGCCCGCGCGCGCTCCAGGGGTGGATTGATGAGAGCGATGCACACTCCACACAGGGGTGAAGAAAATTTTCGTACGCTTTCATGATAGGCATATACGTTGCAACTTCCCTTGTACTTGCTACATTGGCCTCCACATGCGTGCAAGACATTTCCCTGCGAGACAGTGGCACAAAAAGGCAGCAGAGGAGCTGAGCTAAGCGAGGAGCTCCCCTTTGAGCTCCTTATGTATGTGCTGATTACAACCACGCAAATTTCCGCACACGGCAGCGGACACAAGCGAAGCAACCCCAACCCGGCCTTTTTGGCGCTGCCCTCGGCACGCACCAGGACAGCTCCGCTGCGTCACCCTAATTTTCGAAACTTCTTAGTTATTATCATCTGACGATCCAGGACGTTGGCAGCGGCGTTTACCCCAGAATCTCCAGGGGGGCTCGCACAACGGAGCAGCAGCTGATGCAGGAACTCGGAGGGGTGCCGGGCTGGCCGCCTTCGGGCCCGTTCGGCCTGCAGGGCTTTGGCCTTGTGGGTGGGGGACTCACAGGCGCAGTGCAGGTGTGTTTCGCGGCGCTTTCAGGTTGGCGCCTAGCACCGCCTGGGGTGCGTGGCCGTGCCGTTAACCGCGTCCCTCGCACCTGGAGCGTGCGGGGGTGCCCCAGCAGGGCCGGGCGCCTGCACTTCACAAGTGTGGAGGCGGCTGGACGCACAGGGGCGCGCTGAGCGACCGCCGCTGGCCCCTGCCCATCCCCCGTGCGCAGGACGGACAGCGGTTGCCACAGAACGCGTCGGCAGACTCACTCGCCTCGTTTCTGGACGGCCAGTTGACCCTAGCAGAAATCGGCGCGGCGCTGGCGCCTGGTTCGGGCCGCGGCGCTGCGGCCTTGGCAGGTGCGGACTGGCAGGGCTCAGGGGTCCACCCGTGTGTTGCGACCCCCCCTCTCCCTGCACGCATGTATGCCGCCTGCCGCCTGTGCACACGACCTGGCTACCACGCTTCCGAACATGTCATCTGATGTCTGCCGTTGACCGACCCACGCTGCCGCAATGGTTGGGTGCCTCATCAGGTGGTGGTGGCAGCGACCCGGGGCAGGATCCTCTGGGGCTGCTGGGCGTGAGTGCGCAGAAGGATGCCGGGGCGCTCGGACGCTTACTGGCGGACACCAGCAGCAGCGGCCACCCCCACCAGCAGCAGCAGCAGCAGCTCCTCGCGTGCGGCCTGCCTCAGCCGCGCCGCGACTCGAGCAGCAGCGGCCGCCTGCGCAAGCGCGTCGCCAGCGTCGCCAGCATCAGCGAGTGCGAGCTGTTTGACCACGGGCACGACGAGCCCGCGCTGGCGCCGGGGCTGCACGACTCGCTGCAGCCCAGCGACGCGCCCAGCCGCTCGCTGCTGGTCAGGAACGTCCCGCACTCGGCCTCAGACCACGAGCTGCGGCAGCTGTTTGCTGCTCAGGGAGAGCTCCGCAGCCTCAGCACTGGCGCCAAGCACCGCGGGCTGGTGCTGGTCACGTACTACGACCTGCGCGCGGCCGTGCGCGCGGCGCAGCTGCTGCAAGGCGCGCTCGTGGGCGGCCACGCGCTGCAGTTGCTCTTCGCGGCGCCGAAGCCGGCCGGCGGCGGCGGCGGCGCGGTCGCACCTCCGCGCAGCGCCAGCAGCGGCAGCCTCCGCGGGCTCGGGGGCACGCCCGACGGCGCCGCCGCCGCCGCCGCGGCCGCGCTCGCAGTGTGCGCGCCGGGGCCGGGGCCGGGGCTGGGT